TATCGTCATCATTTTAGAATAAGGTTTTTATATCAAATACAAATATGATTTGTGAATCATAGGTAAAATGATGACATGTTACAGTAGTATCAGTTTTTTCCGCTCAAAGAGCATACAATTTACAATTAGTGACNGTGCTGTCTGAAAAAAACAACTAAAACGGTCACAGCCGTAAACTTTGTACCTACTAAAAATATCTCCCGTACTATGATTGTGAAACCTCATTTTCCTCACACTTACCTTTCCGTTAAATCACTGGTACAATAGTATGTACAAATAAAAGTGTTAATTAAAATAATAATAATCATTAAGACGTTTAGACAAATTAAAGTTATTTATTTAGTGCGTTCTTCTTATGATATTTTCAATATTAAAATGTATTTAAATTATTTTCAACCTTATGTCTCACACATAAGAGTTCAAAATCAATTAACGAAAAAATACAAATCATGGTAGATTGATGTGCCAGCAACTCTAAATAAATTCTAAAATAATAATTCTTGCTTGCTTATGAACCAAATAGTATGAATTCATGGATAAAATAAATATTTTTTTCCGATGCGCAATAAAATTCGCCCGCTGTGTCCTGAAGAAAAAAATTTTTTCACCTACTTTTTGCGAAAAACGTACCATACAATGTTATATTTTTATAATCCTGATAAATGTAGCTTTCAGGTCATATTTTTTTTTATTAGATTATCTCCAGCGGTTTAAAAGTAAACGACGTTTATTTAAAAAAATACTTTTTGATTTTTGTGAATTTTACTCAATATTTCAATTTTTTTTTATGAAAAGGCAAAAAAATTGTTCTAGAAATGAATTCGCCATCCTTTAATTATCCGAAAATGATACCACACTTGCCCTAATACCCATAGTTTTGAAGATATGGGCCTTAAAGTGAAGCGCGGCGGAAGGAAACTTGCCACCCCTCCCCCTGCTACCACAGGGGGGGCTCCCGATGTCTACCGACGGAAATCCACTCAGGAGCACCCAAAGAACCACTGTTGCAAAAATGAGCCTTCTATACCAAAGTGGAGGGGTTCTTGCACTAAATTCCCTACTATTATTGTTATGGTTCAAAGAGGTGACAATAGCGTGACAGTGTCAGTGTCAAACTGACTCGAACTAGTGTTTCTGGAATCTAAAATCTCGAATTTGATTCGAGATTTCGAACCGTTTACGTCTGCTACTGGATAAAGGCCTCCCCCAAGTGTTTCAGCAGCGACCGGTCCTGCGTTTTTCGCATTCAGATACTTCCTGCGACCTTCACCAGATCGTCTGTCCAGCTTGTAAGAAGCCTATCAACACTACGTCTTCTAGACACTGCTATAAGCCCCGCCCACTACCACGTTACGTAATTTTCCTACGTGGTAAGAGGTGTATTATTATGGTTCAAAGAGAGTACTCCCTTATTATTATGGTTCAAAGAGGCGACAATAGCGTAACGAAGCCAGCGTCAAACTGCCCATTCGAGATTCGAGGAGTGCTACTTCGATATAAATGACGTCCACGGCTGGACACAATTATTTATTCTATCTTTTTATTATGTTGAAGCGCTAAAAAAACTTGAGGAATTCAGGTTTCTTATTTTATTTTTTCTTTACAGGATGATGACAGCGACACTACGGTGATAAGTTTACGAAAACACAATCTGAAAATTGAACTTCCTACTAGGTAAGATTTACAGACAACTAGTCTATAGTCTGGTCCGGGAGCACGTAGAATTTTGTCCAATGACCCCAAGCTACCCATCCTTATCCCTCGCGCGTAATTATGTTGCTGTCGCGCTCGCACACTCACTGCGGGCGCCCGTCGCACAGTCGCGACAGCAATATAATTACGCGCGAGGGATAAGGATGGGTAGCTTGGGGTCATTGGACAAAATTCTACGTGCTCCCGGACCAGACTATAGTCAGACTTGTCGTGGTTAAAAAAAGTAACTATTATATCTAACGCTTACCTCAGTCAGTACCTGACATATGGGAGCAGCACGGGATGGTGTATTTGTAACGTCAAACGTCAGCGAGACTTCAGATTTGTATGCAAATGTTTATTTTATCCACAACTAGGAAGCTCTTGGCCTGTATCTCACCTGATGGTAAGTGATAATCAGGCCGAAGGTGGAAGCGAGCTTCACCCGGAATCCTCAACCACGGAGGAACTGGCTATCTTACCTCTAACTGCCGGAACACAACAATGCTGTTAACATTGTTATTATGGCGACAGACTTAGGTAAGATGGTGGTAGCTGGCCAGGCGGACTTAGAACAAGCCCTAGCCAACCAAACCGAACAGAAATTCTGCCCCCACTGGGAATCGAACCCGGGACCTCTGCGTCTGAAGCAGGTGGTCTTACCACTAGACCACAGAGGCGGTTACCCCTCCCGTGCCGCTTCCATACCTCAGGCACTGACTAGTTAAAGATAAAGATATTTTTGTTTAGCAGAACATGTCTGACAATATTGCAATACAGAAATATATTTTTGGTGTTAGTAGGTTTTATTAGTATCAACATGTCTTACCGATATTCGGCGTGTAAAAATTATAATTAGTCTGTTTTTACAAGTCAATACAGCTAAGTCAAAATTAAATAATATTCTAATATTAAGAGTAGGCGCACACCGTTGATTTTTCGTCGGCCGATAGTTTAAAGCCTGGTCCGTGAGCACGTAGAATCCCGTGCAATGACCCCAAGCTACCCATCCTTATAGCTCGGGCTTAATTATATTTAGTGACCGACCGAATATTCGTTTTCGGCCATTTTCGGCCAAAAAATGGACATTCGGCCATATTTTCGTTTTCGGCCATAAACCAGCCGAAGCTTCGGCCAAACCGAATATTATCAGAAATACGTGAACAAGATGGTGACGTTTATCGTTCTGATATCTTCAGGAGTGAATCTGGTGCACTCACCCAATCCGACTTGAACGGACGCGGTATTGTCACTCCTTTGAAGTTGTGAAATGAGGTTACGTTGTAGACGGTGTCCAGGGAGAATTTTCCAAGTTCAAAATTGAATACAAATAAAACCTAAGAATTTTCATTAAGTTTAATTGTTTCAAAATAGAGTCTAATGCGGATTTCAAATAAGTCACTGATCGGGAGCCAACAGAGCGTTCGCATTTGAGCAATAAGTATTTGAAATGTATTGTCGAATGATCGATGAATGTCGGATACCACAAATGATCAGCAAGTACAGTGACATACCCTAGCCGCCTTGGTCACCAGATCTCACACCGTGCGACTTTCTCTTGTGGGGATATCTCAAGCAAAAGTTGACAGCAAACTACCCTTAAATAATTCAGGTTCTGTAAAAAAATATCCGCCGAGAAGTTGCAGGAAAATTATTAGCACGATTTGCTTTCGAATAGTTGCGAATGTAAGGGTCCGGCTGTGAGAGTGCCTATAGTAAAACGAGCATCATTTAAACGACATTGCAATCCGCATTGTTAAACTCCATTTTGCATTAGTAATAAATAATAAAAAGTCATAAGATTTATTTGCATTCATTTTTGAAGTTGAAAAATTCCCACTGGACACCCTTTATTTCTTAACTTCACTTCCCAATATTTCAATATACACCGGAAATAATATTCTACTAAGAATTCATAATAATTTTTTTAGTGTTTTAATGCCGGTTTTCTTTAATCAATCTTTATCAAAATCAACTGTCAAACGTCATTATGTTTTTGGTCAAAACATTAATGGTTTTCAAAGTTTTTACATAGGTAATTTCATATTGTTTACAAGATATTATTTGATCACAGATTGAAATTTGAGAGTTGAAGGTCATTTTCGTTTTCGTTTTCGTTTTCGGCCGAAAATGAGACTGCAGCCGAAGCTTCGTTTTCGTTTCCGTTTTCGGCTGAAAATCCATATTCGGTCGGACACTAATTACAATTAATTACATAAGTATCCTACTGGTAGTTAACTAATTTGAATATTGGAGAAATCTTATGAAGTATTTTATTTAAAACTAAGCAAAAGTAGAGATGCAGATTGTTTAGCAAGACGGTTGTTGCTATTATCATCATCATCATCATCATTTCAGCCATAGGACGTCTTCCAGGCCCCTTCCAATGATTTCCACAATGGCCGGTTGGTCTGCTATTATATCTATGAGATATACCATGGCTTTAACTCAAGGAACGTTGTTTTATGGGTCTTTGTCCTAGTCCTTTCCTATTATTTGGGTTCGGCTCTCCTGTTTCGCCGGCGCGCGGTATATCCGCGATTCCCGCCTTAGGCAGTTAGATTTTATCACGTTATTTAAAATTTTCAAAATGTCCGCGATTATTTCATAAGAATACTTTAAATATGGTTTACATACAAGACTAGCTAAGTGCGTCACATTATATTGTGAGCTAGATCTCTTATCACACGGCCTTTGAAGCACAATGCTTAAGGTCAGGTGTGCATATCCATTACAATGGCAACCGATACGGGTGAATAGATACACAGAAATAGAAGTGTGTGTAAAATAACAATACAATACACGACGATTCAACGTTCTGCGTCGTGCAAAACAGGACAGTGTGGAAAAACTGTCGCGCACCAATGACTCGATAATCTCTTCCAAATTCCCAATGGAATAACGAAGGAACTGGTTGGTTTGACGCTGAAGGTATAGAGCCTTTCCATGAGTAAACTAACCAGATCTATCAATAGGATCTACATCCTTATAGGAATTCCTGTGCGAGGAGGAGGTTGGAGGGTCCAGTTTAATGCTCATTATATTAACTGATACGATCTTCCCTATTAAGTAACTCTGTCATGAGTAGGTTATGTAAGTACCTTTTTATACAGATTACAAATAATTGTAATGCACAAATTACTAATCTATTTTCGTTAACCTTTCAGCAGCAGTTGACGAGGATCGAACTAGTATCCTCACGTATTGGCCATCCGATACCAGCGGGCCATTGTCGCTTCAAAGTGTAAAATAATCACTTTATTAACACATCCATCTAATAAATTAATTATGCTTTACCATTTATGTACTCACTTGCTATATCCCTTATATACTGTGGCGTAGGAACCCTCACCGAGTTGCTCTAGTTTTATGTAGGCTTCGGACTTCCCGAACGGAGAGTCACCCTGCGAACAAAAACAAAAATAAATCATTTGTCACTGACTGCACGCAAATCCGATGATGTACGGCCGGCTGAATTGAGAAGTATTGTTTTGTTTTGCTCGCCACTGTATAAGGTGGGCCATTGTAGTCGGATTGAAAAATGTTGATACTTGAATTGATATGGATGTTGGTTTGCGTAGACACTTATTTATTATTATTATTTGTCACAATGTATTGTCATAAGAGCCGAATGGCAAGGCTTTGAGATAATTGGTTTGTATTTTACAAAACACAAGAAATTATCATAATAAGTAGCAGTATCTACGTAGTTGCAATGTATTTTCAGAATCTGCGCCTGAAGACTGTAACAATCGTTTTCAATTCCATTTCGTGATCAAATTAGGTACAACTAAAGATACTTAGTTTAGAGTGAATAACATATTTTCATATTTTAACATGCCCAAAATAATTTCTTTTGTGAACAAAAATGAAATCATCAAAAACACAGAACGCCAACACGCATTTGTCATAGCACTAATCCCGTGATCTACGGCCCACGGTTCATACCCTGATGGGGTCAGCGTGGCTTACTGAACGGGATTACACTTCAGGGCTAATCCCCTTACGTTGCAGTAATCTCGCTTCGCAGGCGAAAGGCCAACTAAACTTTGTGAATAAATAATACCGTAATGCGGGCAGAATGTGTGGTTACTTTATGATGTTTAAATAGGGCTAAGGCTGGGAGAGTACCAGAAAAAAATATTTTGATGCGGTTTGCCGAAAGCTACTGCTGTGCTTGAGATATAGATAGACAGCGTTACTGAAACCAAGTAAAATGACCTCTCTTGCAATAGAATTTAACATAAGCCGTGTTAAATATTTTTTGTCTGTCTATACAATGTGTGTTTTAGCTGCTGAACCAATTTGAAATGGCCGTGTTTTAATCTCATGGAAAACCAAAACCCACGCGTGTAATGCCGCGGGTAGAAACTATTTTACAAATCATTATTTATCAATAATGTTTTATTTATTAGATAATCGCGGAAACCATTACGAGTAATAAGTAATCAAGTAAGCTACTATAATTACTAAAACAACGTTAGAACGGTATATTCCGAGTCCGAAGCCCGTAAAGCGAGAAAAATAAGCGGCTGCCTAATTAATAGTTTTGCAACGTAAACCGCTAATGAGGTTCCCGTCCATCTCGGCGATTTAGCTATAAATCTTCGAGTTTGCGGAACTTTTGAGAAAATACTACGAATTTTCCGTTTAAAATTCAGCGCTACGGTAATAATCGCCAGTCAATTTCAAACATGAATCATCATTTATTATTCTAAAAGCAATTAGCCATTAATTTGTTAACATAGAAAAACTGATTTTTAGAATTAGCTTTATTAATAAACTGAAAATTTAATTAATATGAATGAACTGTATATTTTTATTCTACATCGCACAAGCAGAACTAATAAGCACGATTTTTTTTAAGAATCACTTTACTTTAGCCTGAAAACTAAGATTACTTTGCAAAAACCTGTTATTATAATAATAATTTATTAATATTGAAATTAATACGTAGAATAAACCGACAGTCATTGGATGCTGCCAGTCATTGGATAAAACAACCCTTGAATCATCATCAGTCGAATATCTCAGTTGTTGAAATAGAAATGCTATTTTTAATTCAGTAAATAACTATCCTAACAATAACTTTCTTAAAAGTGTCCAATGACTGGCAGTTTACCCTAGTTATTTGATTGGGTTGGCCATAAACCACATTATTGTCAGAACCTATTGCTTTACAATATCTACGAGGATCACGTTTTGACAGCTTATAAAAGGAAGAAAGAAAGATGATGTGATGATGATGATGATTAAAAAGAATCTGAGGTGGAATTGTGTAAAGCAATCGTAATCATTTGACAGTTCATAACTTACGATAAAGTCAGTTAAACAAAGCGTTTGACAGAATAATCGTACGTTATGAACTGTCAAATGATTACGATTGCTTTACACAATTCCACCCCTGATTGGTGGCCAGTGATCAACTACTCAATTCACTTTTTGGCTGGCACTAGTTTTAAATAAGAAGGAACTTAGGTACTTTCAAATGACTAAATTTTCATTAGCAAAACCATTTGCCAGGGAGTCACTGCCTTTGCTTATATGAACATTGCACGCTCTGATATTACAGTACCTACCTGGACTTTACGGACAGAGTAATGCTGGCAATAAATTGCTATAAACTAAACATTGTATTCAGCAGGTCGGGTAAAGCGTACTTTATGCTTTCAGAGAGTACACACGACAGAATATCAACCTAAACACCTGGGCATCTTATATAGTAGTAATAGGGTCTACTTTGGAACAAAAATGTATAGTCTGAGATACATTTTGCTTCGAAATGTAGACTGGGCACGACTTAACCGTTGTTTATACCGATTAGGGTGAAGCACTGCCTGAAGGCTGCCGTGTAGGGATACTTTAGTGATGGCAAAGATAAGGTGACCTAGTACATACTTGTATTGGATACTGGAGTATTAAATTACAAATCGCAGCTGTTAATTTAGTAGGTGTGTGTAAAGTGTAAAAATTACCTTCCAGGGTTTCTTAGGTTAATAAAATGAAAGAATGCTACGATTGCAAATCGCTTTTTAACAGCCAGAAGAACGTAACTTGATTGGTGGTATTTAATTGTGGTGGCGGCTTATTTTAAAATAAGGAACTATCGTATTTCTAAGTTACAAAATACGTTTACCATAATAGAGAGTACCTGCTATCGACCATCATGGGTTGCCACACAAAACTTCAGCGGCACGTTTGTCTTAGAGCTGTTAGCACACCGAAGTACGCAGTATTTATTTTTCCCCTCACTCTAGTCAAGTTTCACCTCGTACTCTAACTAAAGTGTATTCTACACAGATTCGCTTTCTTCGCCCACTCTTCGCCTGTCCAAATATTTAGCTGCACTAATGCACAAGATGCGGCTGCAGCGGCGCACTGCTAGGATTTCTATAAATTACTCCGCAAGTATAAATAGTACGCATGCAACAGTGTTACATGATGTAGAGTAATCCTTTTACTTTATATTTATATACTATTTGTTATACAGGGTGTTGATTTCAATCCTCGCCATATTTATTTAGGTGATCTATTATGACTTATATAAACGCATTATCCACCAAAAAAAAAATTACAAACTAAAGTAGAATTTTTAGCGAATATTTTCCGTGCGACATCAACTGTACTGTGGCTCGTAATACTGCAATACGTTTCAACTACGGCACCCATCGAGCTACGCGGATCGCTCGCTTATCATGTCTGATAGTCTATTACTGAAGGAAGCCACGTAAAATAGGTAGTGTAAATAGGTATTTTTGTTTGACTAACTAAAGTTAAAGTTCGTTTTAAATTAGTTTGCTGTTTCCTATGTGTGTGTGTGTGTGTATTGGAGCGTACCTACGCGCTTTCCGCCACTACCTACCGCAATCGCGGGAGTATTTTGTACACAAAATTACCAGATTATTTACTCCCTACATTAAAAAAAACACATTCCTTTAAGTTTAGAACTAGGTACCTACTCACCGATGCGACTTCAGATGCGTTTCCACGTGCCCTCCCGTAACAGTAAACCATGTTTACGTACTCACGAGCACTGTACGTATGGTTTNTTATATTGCTATCGCGACTGTGCGACGCCCACCCGCAGTGAATGTGCGAGCGCGACAGCAACATAATTACGTGCAAGCGACAAGGATGGGCAGCTTGGGGTCATTGGACGGGATTCTACGTGCTCACGGACCAAGCTTTAGTCGGGCAGTTGATCAGTATGGGCATGTATGGGAGTGCGCACACTACGCCGATTCGATTTGGCCGATTCTTCAAATTAAAATCGTGCACAACTATCGGCCAACTAAAAATCAACGGTGTGCGCCTACTCTTAACGTTAGACCTATACTTATAAATCCCTTTCTTTTCAGTCATGCAGCCCAAATCCTAAAAGCCAGAGAGATGTGGTGGCGAACATTCCAGTATTACATCGACAGGGACATCCGGACCATAGAATACGATGAACTGGTCAACGTAGCTCGGTTCAAAGTGAAGTTGGTGAAAGCCATAGGACGAGTGCTAGTTGAAGGACATAGGGAGTATGTGACGGGGAAGAAAAAGCTTGATGATGATGATGACAGATGAATAAATTATTAAAAAGTATATCTGGTATTTCATTTCTAGGGCATGATATTATTATTTCTTTAAATAGTAGTGTGACTGATATTTTTAACGTTGGCTGGTAGAGAAAAAAACATTCAATTTTCAATATTAATCACACACACAACAGGTATCACATCATCAGAAGAATTTCATCAATTCACGATTGATGGAGCCAGTTGAGCTAAAATTGCAATAGCATTCCTACTTTGGTGTAACATTGCATTACGAAATATGGCAGGCGCTCGTAAGACTTTATTTTACGATTTTTTTTATAAACTAAATTACTATAAGCTTCCCCTGATTATGAACTCTATTGTTTTCATTGTTAAAGAAATCTATGACCCAGTTACTGTTTACAAAAAGTGATAGTAGTAGACTTTAATTACTTAGGCCCCGGTATACAGGGTGGTGCCGTGTGGTGACGGCAGAGTAGAATACATTTGTCACCAACCCCTACTCTTCCCGCGGGTGTCGTAAGAGGCGACTTAGGGACTACACATCAAACAGAGAATGGGCAGCAGCGCTCTCTGAAAAACATCAATCTTTTAAACTGCGATCTCCAACCCGCCTGCCTAGCGTGGAGATTATGGCAAAACCCTCCACTATAGTGGAGGAGGCTCATAGTCCAGCAGTGGACTGTAAAGGGCTGTTGATGATACAGGGTGGAATTTTGTAATAACACTTTAAGGGAAAGTGCTCTTAATACTGTAGATAGAATTTACTCAAAGAAAACATTCCTTTATTTTTGAAAACAAATAAAACTGCATTTAAAGATTTCCGGATTCAAAGGTACACCCGGGAATCGAACCAACTA